AATCTCCTTGCTTTTCAATACACTCTGTCCATCTGTCAACAAGCTTTCGTATGCCCTCATTCAAAAATGTTTTAGGCTGAGCTGCAAGGCACGAATGCACCGCTGTCTCACTTCTTCATCAAAAAGGTGAATCTTCGTCCTCGTAGGGCTGCTTTCAGGGGACCAAATTTGCAAATGATTTGTCACATAATCCACTGTCATTCGTCTATTGGACAGAATCATCTCCCATGTAAGTTCAATGTTGTCATTAGCCATGGACGTGGACGGGCGTCCGGCTCCTTATTGATGGCCAACACTTGTGCGACCTTCCTTAAACTTCTCTATCTATTCATACACACTTTCTCCATACTGACAAAGTCTTCGATAAATAACGGCACCAGGCACACCCTTGGACCACAAAAAAAAACAAATCACTGCACTCTGCTCTTCTTTCATGCAAATCACAAGTGCTGAATACATTTTTTTCTCGCACCGCAGTTACAAATGAACTGACGTAACACGTTCACACCTGCACAGCAGTGACCGGGGAGACAGTAGCCTTGCACATAAAGAACTGAGAAGGCAGTGCGCCCAACAGAAGTTTTAATATAACTGGAGTGCGGATAATTTTTGACTCACCCTTGTATATTTTCTTTTTCATATGCTCAGCTGAAATCGGCCAGGTGGATGACAGGTTTTGCTATAAACAGAGTTGAGCACAAGAAGGTGCTGTTGCATCAGAGGAGCTTACGTTTGTTTCTTGTTCAGAACGCTCAGCTATATCAAGTAGATATGACCACAAACCATGTTTCACTGGTTCCACTCTTTGACCTTGCATCACCACTGCATCCTACAATCACATGACATCAAGGGCATCATCGTCGCGGTCACCATGAAAGGCAAGTATTTTCTGCCTTCTTTTACAGGTGACAATGTTCACAACATTACATTTTTTGTGACATGATGCTTTAAGATCATTCATTCACATAGAATGTCCATGTGCGAGAAACAAGAACTGTCTGTGCTGCCATAATATTCAGGTTCTCTCAAGTTTCTGGAAGGATGGTACTCAGGTATCTAGGGGGCTATACAGACAGTTATTAATCCTGGCCCTGAAGCATCTATGGAAAGGTTTCTTTGGAGAACTGCCTTGTGTTGACACAGCTGAATCATCTGGTTATTTCCTTAGCGACTATTAAGCTGGTGACAAGATATCACCTTTCATTTATAAATTACCTGCTGCACAAGCTTTGAGGCTGTACCACGTACTCTACATTTATATAGATGTATACATCAATAAAATGATCACAGCACAGAACTAAAAGCAAATAACGTCAGGTTCTGTAGTTTTATTGCATAAGCAGGTAAAGTAGAATGGCGCTGGACCGTCCCCGCTGGACTCATGGACCGTCCCCGCTGGACTCATGGACCGTCCCCACTGGGCTCGACTATTTGATTGCCTTCCTCAGGAGTGACTCTAAAAGCATCTGACAGAGCCTTTGCTATAATGACCACCAGCTTTCTATACTTAAGCTATCGGAAAATGCACAAGTTGCCCGCAAAGGAGAGAGAAGCAAAAGTGAAGCGATTGCCCAGAGCAATCAATGAAACTCATTGTTTGATTTAAAAGATAATATCCAACGATTGGCTATGGGCAAATGTTTACTTCTGCTACACTCTGAAAACCAGCCCCTGTGATCTTGTTTGGCACAGAAATGTCTTCTAGTATCTGCAATTAAGCAAATTAACTTAGTATTAATGATTTTGGAGTTGTACAGAACTGTACACTGGGCAGTGAGGAATGTTACGGACGTTTACAAGATCTCAAGGTCATTTGTTGCTCTCTAGGTATTTAAAAAGGAAAACTAAAGGCTCCTGAACCACAGTCTAAACAAGTAGCAAATCCTTACAAGATAAGAAAAGAAGCGTCACTCCAGGTTAGTCTATACTGGTCTATGGCCAGCTGCGAATCCAGCTCATTTGCTTATAGCGACTATACAGGAAAAGTGAATGACCGCACACCAGCTATGTCCTCTTTCTTTATTCTTTCATAAAAGGAGAGTCTATGACTAAGCGCAAGCATGCGTGAAAAGCTTCAAAAGGTATCAATTCATCAACTTACTTTATTCTTTCGTAAAAACAGTACAGTTGATTCAACTATAATGTTTTTATGAAAGAAGAAAGAGTTTTAGGCATAGCTGGGGTGTCGTTATCCATCTTCCTTAAAGCAACAAATCCTGTTACTGTGGTGCACAAGCTTCTTAAAATAAACAAACAAAAAACTTCCTTTAACTACCCTGATCATAGGTTTTCATAGAGATGCATAGAGATGTCTATGGGACCTAAACCATGCGACAACCGCCTGAAAATGGCTCCTGCACCTTTTTGCGCGACAGGCGATTTCGTCCGTGCGACAAACCGCAAAAGGTGTGAACAGCCTCCATTGACTTTAATGTAAATCTGTGTTTTAAACGATAAATCGCCGAGGTGTGAACCTAGCCTGAATGAGGCAAATCCTCTTTCATTTGTGTCTCACACTCTCTCTGAAGTGCAAGCAGACACAGCCTACCCTGTTTCCCCGAAAATAAGACCTACCTCGAAAATAAGACCTAGTACTATTTTTGGGAATTGCTAAAATATAAGACCTACCCCGAAAAAAGGACCTAGCTGTGACCATTCCCAGGGCCGGTGGTGGCATAAGGGGGAACTTGAAGAGCCGTGGGAGAGAATCAGCGGTGTGGAAGTGAGGTAGGACCGGAGGGAGCCGCATAAGCCGATGCTTCCTCTATAGCGCCGGCTCCTGTCACAGGCGGAGTGATACAAAATGCACTCCGCCTGTGAGGAATCCATAGTGAAAGTGCGCTTGGAAATTGCTCTTGGTTAGCAAATTAGTTAGCAAATTGCTCTTGGAAAGGTACGGCACCTGATTGCCCTGATCACCATATATTTGTGCATGAATACATGTACAAATATATGATAAAAATAAGACCTACCCCGAAAATAAGACCTGGTGTGTTTTTTTGACCCAAAAACAAAAAATAAGACAGTGTCTTATTTTCGGGGAAACACGGTATATGAGAGTGACAACTCTGCTCTGAGTTTAGGTGTAGTGCAGCATTGTTGCCACACCATCACAGGAAGCTGCATTAGGCAGACTTCACTGGCAGGATCAACAGGTATTTGTGGGGTTTGGCAGGAGGACTAAAAGAACACACTAAGTGCAGATGCACCTAAAATTATTATTATTTTTTTAATAGGAGGTCATAGTTCTTACTTCTAAACAATTTACACATCTCTTTAACAATCAACTTAATTTTGTAGAGAAAGAAAAAAAATATATAAATAGCCAGCTGCCCACTGCTATAACATATTTAGCACATAGTGCACATTGCTGTGCTTTTGTCTAATCATCCTGAATGAATCGATGAGCCGAGCCTGTACAAACAGCAGGAGAAAGGCCAAGCAGCACCATGTGATTTTCAGCAATAATCTGCTTATCCCAAGCTCGATATATTCATTGTAGGAATGTCCTTGTTGTGCATATTTGTCTGGTATTGTTCTTCCCGAGACTGCCTTTGAACAACCTAACACCCCCTCCCCCAATATGGGAAAGGAGTATTGATGGCTTTGGAACGGACAAGTGAACTATTTTTATACAATGTAGAAAGGCTTCCTTATTTCAAATGCAGCCAAGTATTTGTACTGCCAGTTTTCGATTAGTATCCAGTTAAAGACTAACAGGGTTATTCACTAAAGGGTGAAGAGTTTGGAGAAGGCAGGAGAAGTGAACAATCTAGGACAACATAGCCGATTTGGAAAGATTTTCCAATTCAGCTCACTTTCGACATTTACAGGGTTATTCATTTAGCTATTTTGGTCTAGATTGTTCCCTTCTCATGCCTTCTCCAAAAACTCTTCACCCTTTTGTCAATAACCCTGTAAACGTCGATTGGTCGATCGATCGCTCTATCCATCTATCTAATCCATACATTTCTCTTATAGCTCTAATAAGGTCTACTTTTACAACTAGTATTTTTGTTGGCTAGACTCAACCCCCTTTCAAATCATCTTGCTGTCAAATATCATATGGCACCTTGATGTCCCCAACAGCATGCACATGTGGTTATCATGTGCCTAGTTCTACTGGTCATTGTGATTGCCTTACGAGTGGTTCAATCAAATAAAATGTGTCTCATATATAAAATGGAAGAATTACATATAACTTTACTTCATTATTCCAGGAGGAATCTGAGTGGGAGTGACTGCTGTGTAAAAATATATAAAAGGTCATTGTGACTTGGAAGTGTTGTCCCATAGTTTGCCACAGGTCTACTGCATACAACGTGTTGTATTGCTTCCCTTTATGTAGGAATGCTAGATATAAAATTGTGGATTGGTCACATTAAGTTGGAGACATTTGTGGCATTCAAAAATCATAGGTTTGAGATGATAAATTCTCTTGAATGTGACAAGCACATATGCATAGGCTAGACTCCATGATCCACGTGTTAGTTTATAGTGATTAATAAAATGTTTGTGCACCATCAGCATGGCAAATTTTACATTTAGTCATGAATGGCCCGCAGTTGCAGTGGCCTTCTCCAACGTATAAATATGTAGACATCATTTGGTGTGCGTCTTACAACAAGGCAGGTTCTGCACAAGATTTAATTGTAAATGAAGTTACTCTTCAAGGCTGAACTACATGAGTAATCTTTAAATCACACTACAAACAGACAAAAACATCCACAATTGATTGTTTAAAGAAAGCTGTGAGCACAGTTCTGACCTTTCATGAACGGTGCACCAAGTGTCTGATTTGAATACAAATGGTGCTCTGATTGTTCTACTCCCAAAACAGCCCTATAAGCAGTGCAAGTATGCAAGCACCTCACTTTGGAGTGCGTCGCCACCAGAACAAGCACCAGCTACATAAGTGAGGACAGGAATTGCCATTGTTGCTGTCCTTACAATCCTGAAGTGTCTGATGTGTAACATCACAAAGTGCACCGAGTATTTACCTTTCAGAGGTTCATGATCAGTCCTTATCATATCCATTAATGAATTCTCCAAAGAGTGCAGGTTGAAGGAGTCATAGGGCCTATTCCGGTCCTGGAAGATGAAATAAAAATACTTTTGTTAAAGTTAAACTTTTGTTAAAGTTAAACTACAATATAAAACAGAATATCCGACGAAAAAAAAAGAAAAATGCAGTTTTCAACTACCGTATATACTCGAGTATAAGCCGAGATTTTCAGAGTCACAAATAAACCTCTACTATAAAACTGGGCATTCACTGTTAAGCTGGTTATACACCTATCGATTATCTGCAGATTTTCTATAGTCAGATGGATAAAGTGCAACAGATTCCTCAATCATGCTAAAAACTATGTGGATGGAGGAATCTCCCACTGGGCCAAACTACCTGAACACTGCCTGCATCCAATCAGATTGTTCAGGTGTTTTGAGAGCCAGCGGGTCCGACTAGCAAGATACTGAAGCTTGGCCCAGTGGGAGATTCCTCCATCACAACACAGAGGGGCTCTCGCATGTTTTGCAAAAGTTGTGCAACTAAAACCTCTGCTTTTAACCTTAGTAGTTAGACGTTTTTTTTGGCTGGCGAGTGTGCTGGGAAATGTCAGTTTTGTACCCTTTAGGGAGATCCACCCTCTCTGTCCTGGTGACCGTCATCACTGAAAATCCCACATTTTGGGTTGTCATTAAAACAGGAATAAATGAGAAATCTTTTAATGGGAACACTAGTTCAGGTGGCCATGCTGACCATCAGGGATTTCGCTTTCATTGGAAGGATTTTCTTTTGCTTCCTGTTGTGGTTATCCGACAGGAAGGGAAATCTCACCAATGGAACACAGATGGCAAAAAAGAAAAAAAGTTGACAGGAGTTATATCCCTCCCATACTCTACCCAAAAGGTTCTGGCTCGAGTTCAAACTGCAGCACGTTCTGCGCAATGATCATGGATTTGAATAAAAAACAAAACATTTTTACTACACTTCAAAAACAACCAAAAATTCCACTTTATAATAGAACATATGAACATTTATAGCAACAGAGAATCTTAGAAATGTTTTGCTCCATTTAACACAAATTTGTTTTGTAATAAATAAAAAATACAGTTCAATGACAATTCATTTACGTAGCGGTATAACAGTTACTACTGTAGAGTGTCCCAGTCTCAGCACATTTTGACAATCTTGCCTGTTAGCATCATAAATATTTGAAAAACCACTCCACACAGAGCAAAATATAAATCAGTTTAATCGCTGTCCGTGGTGCTGGAATCACAGAAGATGGAACTTGTTTGCTCTATTTGTTCATTTTAATCAGACAGCAAAAGATGTAGAAGATCCCCAGCCCACACACAGGGAAATCCAGTGCAAGACCCCACCAGAACTTCTGGTAACAACAATCCTGATATACTTCATGTAGTACTTTATAATTCTGGCACTGTGATAACAAAAACAACAAAAAAAGCCATTTTTTATTTTTTTATTTTTTTTTAATAGAGTAGGGGCGGGTTAGTTTCTGTCTCCACCCAGGGACATTTCTTCTCATTCCTGCCCCAGTTACAGGGGAAAGGCTCTTAGGGCCCATTGACACTGCTGCATTTGTGCAATGCAGTACCATTCCTTCTCAATTTCATCCTAATGCACCTTGCAGTACCATTCATTCTAAATTTTATCCTAATGCACCTTGCTGCTGGAAATGGTATTTGCACCTTTTTGGTGTGTTAGGCAGCTCTTTAAAAAATGAACAGGCTACTTTAAAATGCATATAACTCACCATAGCATTGGGAATGGGCTCCCAAGAGAAAATATTCTCCAGAGACAATAACAGCAACAAAAGCATCCATTGTGAACTCTAATGGCCCATTCACACCGAATTCGTTGTGTTGCACTCCGACATCTAAGTGATGGTAATGCAAGGGCAACGAAAAATTAATGGATGTGAATGTGACGCAAGTTCACACCAGTGAGTTACGTTGCACTGCTGTCTACTGTTCAGCGCAACGCTGCAACAACAAACGCTAACGCAACAAATAATGACAAGCTTTACAGTGAAGTATGTCCACTCTGGACATGTTACTGCACATAAAGCTTGTCAAAAAGAAAAAAAAAGCCAAACAACACAACGGAATGCAACGAATTGCACAAAAATCCGAAGGTACAGTCGCAAGTCAACAGACCCTTTGTGGACCTGTGAATACTTTCTGATTTTGGTGAGAATGGGGCCTTGCTTGGTATGGATGTCAAGGCAAAATAATGACGGGAAAAAAAAAACAACTATTCAGTACATCTCTGCAACACATACACATTTTTGCAAGTTATATATTTTTTTACAAATCTGCAGGTTTCAGTTTACTTACATATATCGGATTGTTTGTTACCCTGCGAGACTTAAAAAATTAAAAACCCATTGAGCCTGCTAAAAATTCACTGTGCTGCTAACTTTCTGTTTGGGCTGGCAACACAATGCCTGAAATCTCAACCAGAGTTGTCAGCCCTGCCTGCTGGATTACACAACGGCACCTATCTCCCACCCTTCTATGCCCCTCACTACATGCATACACTGGCATATTTCCAAGCATAACAATGCTGCTGTCTACCTCCCAGAATCCTGCTCACATACTCTGTATAGGGAGTTGTAGGTATGCCTGCTGTTTCTTGCTACAGGAACAAGGTAAAACAAGTTGAGACATGATCGAGAGGGGAAATAAAATGCAAAAAAAAAAAAAAACACAACAAAATAAAGGAACATTCAGGTTAAGGTAAACTGAGGTGACTTTATGACATGAACAAAGTGACAGCATGTCCTGGATATAAGCAGCACTCCAGCTATGAATTTGCATTTGTGGACTGCAGATGCAGAGTATAGTAACTATGGGCCTCCTGCTCCACAACATGATGTTGTCTAGATGCATTTTGCCAACAAACTAAATTTACTATTAATTTGTCAGAGCAACAGAAATTATGAATCAATTTGACTGTGTGTCTGTAATTATGAGTCCTTACTAAACAAATATTTGTACTGACTTTGAACATAACTGCATAATAAACTGTAATTACCTCTTAGAATTTGCCTTAAGGTGACTGACCCTAATTTATACCATAAAGATTATTCAAATGTTCATGTATGAAAATCTGACGTGGACTTTCGCCGCTTCATACTGCTGCACACGCAGCACATGAATGAAGCTTCAAATCACATATCGGCATCACGGTACACTTCCCCTATGGCTGTTGTGGAGCCAGCCATCGGAGCTCAAATTCTGTGGCATGTCAACAGTTTGTTGATGACCCAATTGGTGTTTGTAACCTAAAAAGCATACAGTTCTGCAGTGCAATAAATATGGCAAGCTATAGGTTGGTCTTGGATATGTAATGAGCACCTTTCAAATTCATCAACTATCTTATTTTATTTATATTAGGTACCCGCAAGCAGTCCCAGCTAAACGTTCTGCAGGGAACATGGGTGATTAATAGGCTAGATAAACTTGTTGGACATTCACCATTTCCCTGCAAATAAGTAAGCGCCAGAGCCCTTTACCTACCCCTTCCTTACGCCACCCAACTTCAACAATGCGCAAAGTTGAAAACTCCGTATGCATCACTGGCCATAATTTAGTTTTGAAAATGTTATTCGGGGTTACCTTAAATGGCAAAACCTGGTAAATAAAACTGATTTGTAGAGCATGCCAAGTGTGTATCAGAGAAAGGACATTGAGCTGAGCAAACAAGCGGTGGCTCCATGGATTCAGGGGTATCTGGTTCTCCTATGTTTCTAAAAGGTAGTTTTTCCTCTGCGATTGCAACTGAACTCAAAAGGATGGGTGTAGGGCTGTGTAGAAAACAAAATGTAGGTCACTTTTCCTTGCTCTTTTCATAACAAAGAAAAGTTTGGGCATTGCAGCTGTTGGACCGTGTACACACACTCCCCTAAAGAGCCATGTAAGCTGGCATCTCTCTGAAACAATTCTGTTGTAATCCGTGGCTTAGAGGTTAGCCCTTTTGACTTGCAGCATTGGGAGCTCTGGGTTTCAATCCTGGTCAGAACACTATCTGCAAAGAGTTTGCATGTTCTCCCTGTGCTTTCATATGTTTCATCTGGGTACTCCAGTTTCCTCCCCCACTCGGCCAAAGTATGTGTGTATGCATGCATGCATGCATGCATGCATGTGCGATAGGGAGTACAAGGGACTGTTGTGAATGTGCAAATTGTCAGCACTATATAAACACCTATAATAAATAATCACTGAACACATACACAGAGTCAACAGAATTAATGGAATGACTTGCTTCCTGATTCCCAGACCCAATGGTCCAGGCCTGCACTTCTTTGAGAGCAGCCAATTTACTCAGGAAGGCTCAAACATTTTTAAACGTATTCCCCTCACAGAGATCTAATAACAATGTGATTTTAAAGCTGAAGGCAGAAGCCATATAGTTCTTTTTTTTTTTCCTCCTCTAAAACCACAGTGCTTAGTGACCTTTAAGAGAGCAGAGTTACCATTGCATTTGCATCACTCAGTAAAGTTCATCGGTGATAGTAGCCCACTGACTGTGTGAGCGGACCAATGGCAAGTAAACAGATCAGTTACTAATTACAATCTATGACGTGTATGTCAACCTTTTCACCAAACAAGGAGGAAACCTTCACTTCTTGGCAAGAAGCTGTACAGCTGTGTGAATAGGAAGAACAAGCAATCATATGTTGATTTTAATAAGATAAAAAGCAACTGCGGGTAACAAAGGTTATCCAGGAGCTGCTAATGCTCAACAAGAAACCCAGCACCAGCATTAAAATGACAAATTCCAATCAATCAACCTTTACCAATTTATGG